TGTTAAAGCAAAGAAAAAACAATTTTTTTAAATATTTGTCTGAATTGTTCGACACATTTTGAATGAGTGTTATACAGGTGTCAAACATCAATTCAAAAAGTGTTCTTTTGTGACACGTGTCTCACAGATGTCATACAAGTGTCAGATACTGACGAGTGTCAGAGTACCATGAGATGCCTACTCTTAGAGGTGTCCGGGATTCATGGGTTAAAATGAATATAAAATTGGCATTTTACAAATGAAAGTTTATGTGATACCATTTGTTAAAATGAATATAAAATTGGCTTTTTACAAATTTACTATGTGATACTGCATCATGTTTTGGTTACAATTAACAAATAATGTAACCTAATGTTAAGCTGTTTAACAATATTACCTCAAGCAAATGTTCTTTACAATATTATGGTCAAAGTACAGGTCCATTACAATATTATGGTGTAATTGATTATTGATTGATTAATCTGTTCAAATTTGTTAAAATTTTGACCACCCATACATCAATGCTTTATGCTCCATTTCAGCCACCGAACTTGATTTCGATGATCAGACATTACAAAATATTATTAAAAAATACATAAAATGGCACACATTTAAGTAATGCAGTACCTGTGGTCCGTCCGTATCTTTTGAGCGTTGAGATTTTAAAGATCCAATTAAAATTGAAAATAATTGGTGTTAGGGTCTTTACAATTAAACTTAGTAGATAGTTGTCTTCTGTTTCAGGGCCATTCCAAGGAATTTCATATTGTCCTAGAGAAGTATTGGTAAGTCAATTCCATCTGAACAATTTGTTGTCGGATTAAAATTCATAATGTTTGTGGTTGTAAAAACAGTTTTTTTTTTAATATTTCCTTTCTTTACTGCTTGGTTTATCAACACTGTAGACCAAAGAAAGGGAGACAATTTTAAAGAGAGACATTGAGAAGAAATCCTTACTCCCACGGATGATATATCTATCAATTCAAAGTGCTTCGTCATCAATCAAGGAGCATGTGGTCAACGGTTCTGTTACACCAGGCATCACATCGGAGCTGAAATCATTGCTGGAGCGTTTTGCACAGTTTTTGGGCTTTTCTCTTAGTGAAGCAGTAGAAGTTGTCAAGGGTTTCTCAAATGGTGAAAGATCTGTGGTATGAATGCTTATGCTTTTATGCACCATTGCAAAATACTTTTAGGAGATCCATGAAACTGAGACTTTGGAACACTGTTTTAATGTTTTTGCATGTTATACTCGTAAAAATGCAGATTTGCATGATTATTTTACTAATGGAGAACTAAATTATTTTGGTGTTAATCCTCTGGTTTGGTTTCCAGGGGAAGGGCCCCCTGGCAATCCAGAGTTTGGCCAGGAGATAAGTATGGCAGGTCTAAGAATTGTTCCCCCATGATTTGAATTCGGGTTCTTCTGAACGAGCTGTCCGTCAGTGGAGCTCAGTAACCACTTAAGCCCAATCACTTGGTTAATAGAGAATTAAATTGAAATAACTATGTGATGGTCTAGATATCTCAATTCAGAAATGAAATGGAAGAGATTACTGGAAACAGTATATCCTTACACACTTGGTGTGCTGTGGTAGTGGAAAATCAAGCTGTTCTAGATCTGAATTTACAATTTAGTGTAGGGCTTGCAGATTTGAGCCATTTGTTTGAACTGCTGCATGTTAAAATTTGGGGTTCTAGCTATTTCTAACTTCTAAGTAGCATCATGTTTCATATGTTTTTCTCACGTGTGGATAACATATTTATTTATTGTTGCAATTTACAACTAAGAATTTGATTCATATCTTCAAAAAAATGTTGCAGGTTTCTGACTCCAACTTGATTGACTGGTTGAATTTTACTGTATTCTTAAATGCGTGGAACTTGAGTTCCCATGAACTGGTACAGCCAGATAGAAATGAACGAAAGCCTATTATTTGGAATATCTTAGATTCAATGTTGGAAAAGTATATTTTTGAGAAGGTTAGGTCCATGGAGCCCCAGCTATGTTCACCTTGGAGTGACATTCAACTTCTGATGCAGTTAGTTGCAGAACCTTTGGCGTGGCATGGACTTGTGATCCAGTCTTGTCTAAGATCCTGTCTTCCATCAAGTAAGAAGAAAAAGAGAAGTGGGTCGGCCTATCAGTCTAGCTCAAATTTGGCTCATGCAATCACAGATTCTGTTCAGCAATTATCTCTTGTATTGGAGGATGTTATGAAATGGCTGAATGAATGGAGCAAAAGACCTGAAGATGAGAACTCAGAGGACATTCTTTCTCTTCTCAGGAAAGATGGGCATAATGATGGGCCAGGCCGGGTCTTTCACATTTTAGAAACGTTTATTTCCTCTATGAGTAATGCGGAAGTTGGTGACCGCATATACCACTCACTTAAGTCTTGGAGTCCCGCTGATGTTGCCAGAAAAATGATGACAGGGAAGCTTAAAGTTTTGATGGAATTTTCAGCCATCTGTGAATCAAAATTGAAGTTATTGCAGTCTCTGAAACAGCAGATAGCTCAAGTATGAAGAAATGGCATCAGTGCAGGAGTTTTATTTCAGCTTGACAAACGATCCTTTAATCAGTCCTGAAAGGAAACTTCAATGTCGAGGTTGAGAAAATGTGCTTCAGTTCTGCTATTATTTTTGTTTGTTTCTTCTACTGATTTTATGAGAGAAGCTTCATTTGAAGTCACGGTGTTATTGCTTGCTTACTATTGGTTTTGTCGGTCATTCTGTAAAATTTTCCATGAGTGCATATTCAACCGTCCCCCCTTTATGCTGATGGTGGAGAATTTTAGCTGTTTGTCTGGGCAAAAATTTTGGCAATGTACTAATAGTTTGAATTTTTTGAATAATACTTTTCCCGTTTCAAAATGAATGTCACCTTAACAAAAATTTTGTTTTGAAATGTATGCCGTTTTTTTTGAGTTCAAACATTATTTTTTTTCTTCTAATTGTACCTTCTAATTAATTTTGTTAATTTACTTTATATTGAATTCTATTTTATTTTGGATATTTGATTGGGGAAAGCACACCAACAAAATAATTTTATTTTTTAATGCATAGAAAGACATCTTAAAAAACATTTTTGATATACATATAGTTAATATTCTGTTCTGACCTTCAGTTATTATTCAAAATATCTTTTTTTGTTAGGCGCATGTGCAAGAGTGATATTTCTTATCTTCTCTAATCCCTGAGATAGTATCTCAGGTAGACCCGTTTTAATTAAATGGAAATGCGTCTCCAATTATATGCACGCCAGTTTGTGAAAGTGTTCAATTCTACTATTTTAAGGGCACTTGTCGACTAAAAAGCGTTGCCTTGCGAACTGCAAGGGGCCATTTCACATATTATTCAGGAGGATCTCATACATCGCAAATGCTAAAATTTCCACCTCCATAGTTGTACTTGTATCTTTGTTGCTATTTTATTTCAAATGCTTAGATATGACTTTGATCTTTTGGCAGTCTCATTGAGACTCTAACACCTTGTATGTTTCAAACTCAGGGATTTTGATCAACCTCCATATCTCCATCACATATCCTATTAAACAGTCATGAATACTGTCATTGACAATATAGCGATAACTTCTCTATTTTCAATCCTAATTTGAAGAGACACAAATATATGATGTCACATGAGCTTCTTCTGTCGGATAGAATTTCTAATACTTTGTGGTTTATTATTCTAGATTTTATGACCACGACCACCGGAAGCACTTTGTTGGAGGCACCGTCCACCTTTTACCTTTTTGCTATCTCAAAACTATTGGATGGGACTTCCGTTCCCCAACCTTTCACTTTCCTCCTTTGCATTTGTTCGAGAGATTCTCCTCTTCATGGATTTTCAGGTGACTCTTTCAAGGAGGATTCTTCTTTGGGAATTGAGGAAGTAGATGGAGGTTCATGAATTTCTCGAATGACTCTTTCAAGCAGGATACTTCTTCGGGGATTGAGGAAACAGATGGAGGTTCATGGAGGTTTGTGAAGTTTTGGAATGACTCTTTCAAGCATGATACTTCTTTGGGGATTGAGGAAACATACGGAGGTTCATGGATTTTTCGAATGACTCTTTCAAGCAGGATACTCTTTTGGGAATTGAGGAAACAAATGAAGGTTAATGTGTGGTGGGGGTCGAAATTGGCGTGACAGTGCCTTGGTAAACCATTGGTCGAGTCGCTTTAGACAATGCCAATCGCTGACAACTATGCAACACGGGATGATAGAACCAAATAACAAAAACACTTGTGGCGGCGCAACAAAAATAACATGATGAATTGGATGCGGAATTTCACAAGGATAAGAAAATGCTTTCCACATACGACGCTACCATTCTTGCATGGAACATGAATTTCGTGAGGATAAGAAAATGCTTACCATATACGGTGCTACCATTCTTGCGTGGAACAATCTTGGTGATGTGTTGTTTTAGAAGCTTTCCGGTATGGTGGTACAAGAGTGTATTAGCAAAGTTAGCACTCATGTTAATGAAATCTAAGATGAGTAATTTGCAAGAATGAATAGAAAAATGTACATAAATGGATAAGAATGTTTTATATATATCTTAATTAGTGTCATACTTATTTATAAGAGACTTTTTTTTAAATGCATTAAATAATCAACATATTAATTTATATAATAGATCATATATATCAATTATTTAATAAATTAAAAAAATAATTTTTTTCTAATAAATAGGATTGGAGGAAGGATTACGACTAATAATTGCAATAATATCATGATTTTATTATTTTGTAAGGTAGGTGGTTTTATTTTTCTTGAAGTTATTTCTTTATATTGTTAAATTTAGATATAATTTTCTGTTGTATAATACTTTTTCTTTATAAAAAATTTCACATGCAAAACTGTTTTTCCCCCTACATTTATCTATTCACCCAAAGTAGAAGTGATACCTGATTTGTGTCTATAAATAAACTATAACATCTATATTTTTCTAAAGTACATTGAACATGCCTTCATCTAAAGACTAAACCTTACATATTCACACATTTCAAGTTAACCTCTTAGAACTTGTTGTTGCACCACTAAAACAGAAGCTGATCCAATAAAATCATGAGAACTAACATAATCACCAATGAGCCCTAACTCATCACTTTCACTCCATTCTGATAACCCTGTAAGAATATTAGGGTTTATCCCATGTTTCCTTCCAACTATCAATAGATCAAAACTACCATCATTCATATCATGAATTGCTCCTATTGTTTCTTCACCATTCTTAACCACAACCTCTTTATATGCCACTCTTTGATTCCTCTCATTCTTCACCCAAAAGGATGTTACTATTCCATCATCAAGCTTCTTCTCCATTTCATTGTCTCCTACATTGTTGTACGACAGAAACCGTATCACCATGAGTGATACTTCCTCGTTCGCAACCATTCTATCCGCGTAAACAAGTGCTTCTCTTGCATCTGCACCTCCGAAAAACAAGACAGCAAATCGATGTCTACTATGCCTCATTGAATTCCCGGTTGTAGGCACGGAAGTTCCAAGAAGACCTTTATCAACAAGAATTGCAATAGAACAAGGAGCATTATCCAACACTTGTGAATTCAACGTCCTTCTTACTCCATGGTAATAGAAGCCTCTATTTATAAAAGGTAAAATGATTAGCGACGCTTCTTGTTCGAGGGAGAGTTCGCAGATGGTTTGAAACATTGATTGCTTGGGAGCTACGCCAGTGAAAAATTGGATTTTCATAAACTCTTGTTTGATTTGTTGGTAACTTCGAAGTGCATTTATGATGGGTGTCCATTTATATATCTGAGGAGCTTCTTGTATTGTGTGATCGATCAATAAAGGAGTTGCGCGACCGGAGAGCTCGAATAGTCTAAGACAAGAAACTGAAATAGGGTTGGTTGAGGTTGGATTTGTGACATCAAGTAGATGAATGAGTCCATTTGTGCTTTCTATGTCTAGAATACATAACATTATTCTAAGTTCTTCACTTGGTGGATTGTGTTGAAGGTTTCTCCTTTGGTTTAATATGTAGGGTCTTGTTGGATCATACAATATGGAGACTAGTGGAGTGAGCGTTGCTGTCAATGCTGTTGTCACTGTCACCAACATTGTGAATTCTGGTACATTCAAGATCTATATGCATCCACACCAAAAAACACATTTAGATTTTTGAGTCGCAAGTTTCCTACATTCACGCAGTCAGTCACATAAATATCTGTTGGATCGAGATTGAAAAATACATATTTCAAACTTGACCCAATTACCATTGACGTGGCTGACTGAGTGAAATTAGTGTACAAAATATAATTGGAGATTACTTACCTTTTTGTCCATCAAATGCACAAACAAGATATATTCAATTTGTCCTCGTAAGCTCATAATGAGGCTAAAAGTTAAACCATCTCTGAATGGCATGCGCCAATACATTGTAGCCATCCAAGTAACAAAGAATTTCAACAAGTAACCAGTAATAACCATGAGAAACAAAGGTTTCAAATTTTTCCAATCAAAAGAAGCCAATGCGAAAAAATCAGTATGATGTCCAATCAAAATGAATGAAAATGGCATAAGAAACTCATTCATAATAGTCTCACATTTCTGAACCAATGTTGCACCTAAACCCGGCCCATCAGGAATTGCCAAGCCCAACCACAAAGGCCCATTAACAATTGCTATACCAAACATATCAGTTATAAATGCCATCACAAAAACACCCAACAGAATTCCAACCACCAAAGATTGATCCACCTGCTGTCCTTCTGGTGTTTTATGATTTATCCATAACATTATTGGCCTAAAACAACCTAATAAAATTGTAAATATAACCACAATAGACATCAAATACCACAAAGCATTCTCAGATTTTGTTTCTCCCTGTTTTGATGCTTCAAAAACTATAACGCTAAGAATTCCAAACGCGTCGCTGATTAACGCTGTTGCTAACGCGAATTGGCCGACGTCTGAGTTTAGAAGGTTAAGCTCTTTGAGAATATGATATAGAACATGAAATGCTGTTATTCCTAAGTACCCTGCTAATACTCCTATTGATGAAATTGAACCTAGTTCTTTGTCCATCATTTTCCTTAAATATACTCCTATAATAAACACTGCTATGGTTGGAATTGTTATGCTGGTCAATGCAATTGATATATGCATCTTTCCTGATTTTCTCATTAGACTTGGATCCATTTTCACGCCATAGACAAAAACAAAAAACATGAACCCCATCACGCCTAGATTACTCATTAGGAATTGCGCCGCTTCCGGTTTCAAGTATCGATGATACCATTTACTTCTTCCTAGAAATGAAGGTCCAACAATCACACCACCCTAGCAAAGAAATCAAACATGAAAATAAAAACTCCCATTATTAGAGAAAAAGTTTAACATGAGAATTGATATAATAATAATGAAGCTTACAATAATTTGAGAAACGATGTTAGGTTGTTTGAGAGGCTTAAGAATGAAACGAGCAATACGTGTGATGGCAGAAACAAGAATGAGGTGAAACAAAAGTAATGAGAATGCATGAGTTAAGGGGTTGTCACCATAAAAGATACCAGAAGGGTGAGTGTCTGGTTGTACTTGACACAAAATTTCATAGGTAGAAAATGTTGTATCCTTAGTAGGTTTCACCATTTTTTCTTGTAAATACGAGAAAGAATAGAATGTTCATGTTGTTGTTGCCAATCATTGTTTGGTGATTGTAACAAACCATTTACGGGGAACTTTCGAGTCATGCATGAGTTTATTTTTGATAATAATCATCAGGCTGCAAAATTACACATGAAGGGTGTGCGTATGTTTGAGAGAGAGAGAAGAGAAACACATCGACAGAGAAGTTTGTGAGTGGATATACGTCAAAGTGGGAGAACTATTCTTGGTTAACCATTTTTTCTTTATTTGTGAGGTAACTATTACACATGGTTATGTTAATGTGGTTACACTTATTTTTTTTTTTTGTTGAAAATACTTCCCTTTTATAAATTTAATTTTGTAAAAATTGTATATACTTCTCATGACATATTACATTTTTATCATTTTCTCTTAATTTCGGTTCTTATGTCAAAGATTAGCATTTAACCATTAGCGAGTGTCTACTTTAATTTCTGTTTTTATGTCAAAGATTAGTATTTAACCATTTTCGTTTGAGCCGGACACCCCTTTTTCAATGGGTTGATTCGGGTTGGGTGATCTCGTTGTCTTCTATGTCACATCCGCCCGACTTAATTATCCTCTAACCACTTACATTGCTTTTGAATCGATCGGGTTATGGGTTGGCCTCTTCTAAGGTCCAATTGAAGTTATCCTATTCCAGTCTCTCAAGTACGAGGTTTAGGAAGGGGGAAGTGATTTAAACTAGGTTGAATATAGTCTTTTTTTAGGCGAGAATTGGGGAAACGAGTCCCTAAAATAGAGCTTGAGGGAGAGTCCCTCAAGTAAGACTAAAAGGGAGAATCCCTCAAGCGTGGGAAACACGTAAGGTAGGGGTGTTCAAAATCGAACAAACCTAATAGAAGATCGCTAGTCGAACCGAACCAAATCGAAAATCGCAAATAATTGCACTTGGTTCAGATGTGCTTATGCCATATTTATCAAAACCGCACAGTTCGTTTCGATTTGCAGTTTGTATTTTGCAAACCGAATATAACCAAACTGAATCACATTATGTTAATATATTTGATACATTTTTAGAAATGACTCCGATTTCACAACTAAATGAGGTATATTTTTAAATCTTGTTCATCCCTTTTAAATCTTGTTCATTTGTTTTTTTTAATATTAACCTCTTCGATTGTGATTTGTAAGGAGCTCTAATGGAGGATACGTAGATATCATGATTTTAATAGAAGATTTTTCTAGTAGTAGGATGTGCTTTCTTGTCGTTTTGGAAGAATGTGTTGTACCTTAAACGTAGATATCATGATTTTAATGGAAGATTTTTCTAGTAGCAGAATGTGCTTTCTTGTCGTCTTGGAAGAATGTGTTGTATTTTTAAGGTCTAGTATATGATTGAAGTGTTTCTTTGTTGTGTCAAATGATGGATAACCCATTTTTCTTCTAGGTGATGTGTACTTTATAATACATATTGTTATTTTGTTATTCGGTGCTCAAATGGTGTTTTAACTTGTACACATTGACATTGTTATTTGTTTTTTGGTAATGTATGAATGACTAAACACAAAGTTATGTTGTTCTCTCTATATGTGCATGTGTCATACCCCAATTTTGTTCGGGCATTTTTAAAACTTTTATTCATCTGACTTTATTTTTACTTTGCATCATCTGTATAGCATAACATGTCTTTCATCATGAATAACGCCTAAAGAGTCGGTCAAGATAAAGTTTTGGATATATAGACAGACCTGTTGAATTGTTTTTCAACTGTACTTGAAATAAGCAAACACAAAATTTTTAAATCCAGCTTGCAAACGTCAATTTTATGAATCTACGATTCGTGTAGTTTAACCTGATATGCTCATTTTATTTTTTCAGCAATTTTTTTAGACACATTATGAATAGCCTGAGCCTTTTAACCGATCAAATTTTATTTTAAAATATGATAAAAACCTGTATGTTTTCAAGAAGTTTATTTCGCGTTGATCATTTTAATGTATTCGATTTATTTTTTTGAGCATATTTGCGCCCGACTTTTATTCATTTTCATTCGTTTTAATTTTATTCTTTTGCCAAAATATTCAGAAAAGTTAAATAGAATTTTCCACGTTCTTTTTCTTTTTTAGCATATTTGTTTAGGAAGTTGTGAATGTTATTTGTTTTAATTGATTTAATCCCACTTAATTAATTAAAACTTTTAGAATGAGCAACTTTGGCATTTTAGATTAGGTATATTTCTTTGATTTAATCTGGATCGTTGAGTCAAATTTAATCAAGGGCTCATATTAGTTATCCACCTTTTTTCCATTCATCCAATCGAAAATTAGGATTTAATTAAATAGATTAAATAATAAAATAATAAAAATAAATAATATATTCCCCCACCTCTCCAATTAAAACACGTATCCAATTCCTCTCTCTTTCAACAAAAAAATCTCTTGACATAACAAATTCTCTCCTCTCCCCACTAGCCAATGCACACATGATTCCCACTACTCAATTTCCTTCAACGAATACTCTCTCTACAATAAAAGTGGGACAACTCACCATAATAAAAGGAGGACCAACTTACTTTTGTAGGCTCTCTCTCACACAAAAATGAGAAGGGAGACTCATATGCATTTATTGAAGAGGTCTCTCTGACATAATGTTAGAACAATATTTGTTCTTGATATATTCTATTTTAGTTTTGATGATAACAAAAGTATTAAAAGAACAATGATTTATTTGATGTATATTTTATTTATGCAGGTCCTTGTACATAAATAATCAGAATCTGTTTATTTAAGATACACTTGGAGTTGCTTCATTGCTAGCTTCTGGTGGCAGAGTCTGAAGAAAAATTTCTAGTGTGGTTTGACGAAGACTCTGAACTGAAGGCCTCAACATTCAAATGAGTTTCTGCACTTAGTAATTGTATATCAACTTCTGGTACCATTCAGAGTTAGTGATAAAGCTATGGACTATCCATACTACTGAAAGCACATTATATTATCTTATCAGTCTGGCAGCTTGAGTCTACAAGATTGCAAGGCTCAAGAAAAGCTGGTACGTTCTATGGATGTCTGCTCTCAACGACTCTATTAATACAGAACCTCTTGAAGACTCAGAAATCTACTGTGCATCCATCTTCAACATCTCTTGTACTATGGAGTAAAAGTAAAGACACTTGATCAAGTCACCTTCTCAACGACTAATTTCTAGAAAGGCTATATATATGGCTGAAGATTCAAGCCTGAATTTTCAACAAGGATTCTTCTGTTGAAGGAGTAGCAAGATCAAGCAATTATTAACTCTACGTAATATGCGGATTTTCTGTTGTAGGTTGTTATTGTAAAAGCCTTAAGATTTCTTAACCCTGTATATATTTAGAAATCTTAAGTGCTTTAGGTCTTTGTTATGGTGATCTTCCGTACCTCTGATGCTTTCATCATGTACACCTTGTTCTCTATTCTACTGAGCTTTCAGTAGTTTATATTAAGTCTCATGCTATGTGCTAGAGCAAAAAGTCTTATCTCATTGAGATTCAAGCAACAAGTCTTGATCAAAGATGCTTAAGCCACGTAAGTCTCATTTCTTAAGTGCTTGAGTTATGAAAGTTTTATTCAACTAGTCTGATTGAGAAAAAAAAGTCTTAGACATGTGCTCTAAGAAAAGATAAGTCTCATCCAGGAGACAGATGAGCAAGCGGCTTAGTCTGATGGTGTGAGCAACGAAAGTCTTAGACACGAGCTCTAAGCAAAGGAAAATCTCAGCCAGAAGACAAATGAGTAGGCGGCTCAGTCTGATAGTGTGAGCAAAGGAAAGTCTTAGACATGTGCTCTAAGAAAAGGGAAGTCTCAACCAGAGGGCAGATGAGCAGGCGGCTCAGTCTGATGGTGTGAGCAAAGGGTAAGTCTTACACATGCACTATAAGCAAGGGAAGTATCAGACAATTGGTCTAAGTAGTTGTAAAAGACTTATGTAGAAGCATAAGCGATTCTAACCATGAAGTGGTTATAATGAAAAGCTCTTATGAGGCAAGAGGATTGGACTACTCTTAGTTAGAGGAGGAACCAATATAAATCTTTTGTGTCTTCTGCTGTTATTTCATTTGTTTCTGTTGTATCTGCTGCCAACTGAATTAATTCAGAATCTGAATATCAGTTCTGATTCTGAAACTCTGATCAGAAGCTAAATAATAAGAAAATGCGAAACACAATTCAACCCCCCTTTTTGTGTATTTTTCACACCTTCAATTGGTATCAGAGCATGGTCTATGCTTAACACTTAACAGTGATGCAAATATTGATCCAATAAGAAAAATATATTTCTTCTTCAAGAAGGTTTTAAGTGCCACATGAAAAATATCATACGACTTTTCCTACCATATTCAAATGGGTGATTCCATTAAATTTAAATGATGGAAAAGTTAAACATATTTTTAACTCATTGGACTTGATAAAGGGTTGTTGAAGATCTATAGAATATCCTTAAAAAAGGTATTACTATAGAAGTTGATGGTGTTATAGATGATCTTTTTGAAAATCTCTTTCACCAACTCAGAATATGCATATTGAATATCTTCAGAGATAGTTGCATTCTGGTAGACGCATTATCTCACTTCTGAGTATATCAACTGTGAAGACATGGCTTTTCAAACGATTTTGATGACGACACACTCTACAACAAACAAGGATGGATAAAAGAATCTCAAAGAACTTTAATGTCAAATCAATATGTCAAGACTTGTTAAAGAATGAAGACAAAGTTCTACACAAATGAAGGTACAAAATTCATCTTTTATATAGCTTGTACAAGTGTTCAACTTCACCTCTCATTCTTGCATATCATTTTAAGATTGTTTTAAAACCATTATAATGCATTTTGCCTCTGTTTCAAAGTGATTTTTGCAAAACATGTTCAGAGTAACCGGTTACCTATTCTTGGTAATCGATTACCCTATGTAAATTTTCAAATTTTTTCAAACGTTGAGGCTGGTAATCGATTACCCACATATGGTAACCGGTTACTACTAGCAT